GGGGGGGGGGGGGGGGGGGGTCAGATACTCCCGGTTTCCGTACCCCGCTCTCCCGCTTCCCGTACCTTAATCTCCCGACTCCTGCCCTCTTCCGTCCTGCTCCCGTCCCCTGAATATTAAAAGACTCAAAATACAAGCACGAATTTTCTTGTTTTTGAAAGTATTCTAATACACAATAAATAACAAAAATGAGCGTTTTACATTTCTCTCTCTCTTCCCACCTGCTTATATTAGAACTCCCACTTCCCGCTCTTTCCTGTCGGGGCTCTATTCTCCCGGGTTCTCGCCCCGCTGCCCTCTGCCACACGCTAGCTGGTAAACAAATAACGTTTGTCATTGACATCTCGCATTACTATATTATCTTTGTTTTCCAGGTCAGTGGGAAAGGCTTGTAGACTGTAGCTACCAAGAAAGGGCTTTGAGAATCCTAGAAACCTGGATACCATCAACCGATCTCCATCCCATGATTCTACGCGGGATGATCTCCAAAGCATACTCTGCTAACTTTCAGCACGAGTCAGTTGCTCCTGTAGTCAAACTGAACGACCAGTTCTATATACACGAGCTGTTTCATGGCCCTACGGCTTCCTTTAAAGACTTAGCCTTGCAACTAACACCACAATTTTTCAACGAAGCTCTTTCACACAATTCTGTCACTGAAGGACATCTTAAGCGTCTGATTCTGGTTGCGACGTCAGGAGATACAGGCAGCGCGGTGCTAGAAGGTTTTAAGGACGTGTCCAGGACAGAAGTTCTCATTCTGTACCCAGACGAGGGTGTCAGTCAGATACAGAAGGCTCAGATGGTTTCAGCGGATAGCCCTAATACACGCGTTATCGGTGTCAAAGGTGACTTTGACTTTTGTCAAACTACAATCAAGACCATATTTAATGACAAGTCGTTCAGCAAGACGCTTGCAGACTCTTATGACGTACAACTGAGCGCTGCCAACTCTTTAAACTGGGGTCGCTTGTTGCCTCAAGTTGTGTACCATGCCTCGGCGTACTTGGACCTGGTCAAATCCGGGGTTATCTCTATGGGTGATATGGCAGATTTATGTGTGCCAACTGGCAATTTTGGCAATATTCTGGCTGCCTACTATGTCAAGGTTGGTTGAAGTATTAAAAAAACGCACTGTTTTATACCGTGTTGTTTGCCTAGTTCCTAGGCCTCGATATTTCACCTCGCTCAATCGTTTTCAAGTGATGTAGTCTCGGATACGTCATCGAAATCAATCCTGATTGACCGTGAAGGCCTGGGAGAATGTCGTAAAGGAAGTAGGCAGCCGTGTTCGCACGAAATTTCTTTTTGAAGCTTAGCATATAGCTTCAAGGAGTGTAGGAATTTCGGCTAGAAATCAAGCATTCGTTTCGAAAATTGTGGTGTAACTCCAGACCTACTCTCGGGTCATGCCCCAGTTGCAACGGATCGCTATAAATTATATTTCAGTATTTACCATTTGCTCGTTTGTTCTCTGTACAGAAATCTCAGTTCTGTCACTATGGTGTCCCTGAGTATAGGTGGCTGCCTGACAAATTGTTAATACCAAGATAAAATAAGTTGTATGGCAATCTATAAGGAGATTTGATACTTCGATGTAAAAAAAAAGTTCTTTTCTGTTTTCAGGAAATGGGGATACCTTTCAATAACCTGATCTGCGCTTCAAACGAAAACAACATCTTGACAGACTTTTTCCACACTGGTTCATACGACATGGGAAAGCGACATCTTCACCAAACTGTCTCTCCTTCCATTGACATTCTGAAATCGTCCAACCTGGAAAGGTTACTTTATCACGTAACCGGGAGCAATGGACAAGTTGTAGCCGGTTTAATGAGATCGTTAGAAGAAAACAAGCATTTTAAGGTACGTAATTGGTAACTAACATATACTAAAACTGAGGCTGTTTTTCACTGGCGCACACAAGAGCATAATTTAGTGACGGTCGTCAGCATCCACTCTCGTCCCCACAGGCCGCGGTCGGACCTGATTCGTTGAGGATGTGCAGAGTATTGGTTTCGTATTCTCAGCCATTCAGATTTGTCAGATTTGACGGGAAGTCAGTTAATCGTGAACTTCCAGTGCTAAACCCGCCCAGAGGTCGCGATTCTTGGTGCTGACCAAAAGGATCTTGGCCTCTGGGGACGAGAATGCCCGATACCAGGTCATTGCTGTCAAAAAGACGTGTCGCACAGGAACAAGCCGAGACAAAAAAATATTTTGTAAAAGAAATCAAATAAATCAGGCATTCAGGATAAAACGTATTGACCAATAAATATACACCCGAACAGAGCTATGTATTGAGTTAATGAATAAAAAATGAATACGTAAATTACATTAAAGGCTGCTTTGGGAAGGTCGCACAAACTTTTGAGATTTATTCACAACAGTGAAACTGAAAACGGTTGCCGATTTCGTTTCTTTTTCTGACTTCTGAATTAAAAAAAAAAGACGCCAGTTGTAATACTCCGATTGTACGTAATCAAAAATCAAACTTAACAGCCCGTTGTGTTAAGAACATGTTGTAGTTCCACTGAACACACGGTTGCTTAGGTATTTTGAGTTCTTTTGGCTACATACGAAATTACCTTTAAATGGTAGGGAATCTGAAAATAACCGTTTAATGAAATAGAAAAACACTAAAGAGATAATGATAAACCATAAAGGAACAAGGATGGCTAAGGATGGAGAAGACGTTGCTCCTTTAAAGTCGCAAGTTTTTTCTTTGTACGGATTGAAACCGCGTCTCTCCCAATCGCGAAACTAAGAACCCTCAAGACACACAGAAAATCTCCAATCCTCGAAATTAAAAATTCGCAAATTTTGTTTGTTTGTTTGTTTGTTTTGTTTTGCTACGACGTCAAAATTGCTCAGCTATTTGTAATTTCCTTACAGATTTCTGACGACCTCAGGGGTGAGTTGTCATCAGTATTCAAAGCTGACTGGACAACAGAAGACAAGTGTTTGGACACCATTAGATCTACGTTTGAACAAACTGGCTATGTCCTGGACACTCACACGGCAGTGGCTAAAGACGTGGCTGACCGCTTTGTTGATTCTAACCAACCGCTTATAATTTCCGCCACGGCACACTACAGTAAATTTGCTTATGACGTACTCAAGGGGTTACGGCAGTTGCCAACATCACATGACCCTGTGGAGTTGTTTGCAAGCTTAAGAAAAGTCGCTACCAAGCCTGCGCCGCACAGAAGACTCGAAAATGCAATCAGCCGACCACAGGTTCACAAGACAGTGTGCGAGGCTAATGTCAGTACAGTTATGGACGAGATCGATCGCTTCTTAAGTCGGTGATATCGCCGAGGATTTCATTTAAATTTAATAAAATGTATTCTGCCAACTGAAGCATTCCAATATGAACTGAACAGAAGTTTACAAACCTCCTAACAAGTTCAATAGTGACAACCCTATAACGTAAGATTTATTGTGTAACAAATAAAGAAATACTTTAGAATGGAGGGTTTACTGTTGGAAGACTTTCGTGTCTAAGGCTGTGTTCACATTTGGTGCCAGAATATGATTCTCGCTGGGACTGATGTGAACAAACTGATTGTCCAAGTACTCACACCAGAATTGGGGCGAAGTGTCCGTGCCCAAGTACAAGGTCTCGACCTTGTGTTTGGGCACTAAATAGACCAAAATGGCTGCTATTTAAAATTCTTTTGTATGCATTTAAATTAGCCCAACTAACCTCTTTTGAGAGTAAAAATTCTTTTGAATTACCAACTCAAAAATGAGATTAGCTGGGCTAATTTTAATACTTACAAAAGAATTTTTAATGGGCAGCCATTTACGAATGGGGTCTATGGTACTTGGGTCCAGTGTCTGAACACAACACTATTTTCTGCCAGTCCCCAGAAACCAGTTCTTGGAACCAAGTGTGAACACAACCTGAGACTTTATAGCTCTTTGTGGCTCGTGTCATTTATAACTTAGTTTTTATGGTATTTTATAGATAAAGAAAAAAAGGTATTGGCATTATGAGTCGTTTCACTTGATTCTGGGAGACTTTCAAGCCCCTCCATCTTTTTTAATAAACCTCACATTTACACATACATGTATTAGTCTTCTAAAGTTCTCCTTGGTTCTTACTGATCTTCAATATTATATAGAAATCACTAGCAATCCACTGGATTTTTTTTTCTTTGAAAGCCTTGGAAATATTGCCAGGATTCATGGACTATAATATTAGCATTAACAAACAATGAATAAGCTACAAACTTCAGGATCAACTGGCAAGGAGACAATGCCAATCATAGGCCTTTTGCAACACTAGTTGGTCACGTGAGCTTACCAGTAATTTTCATGAACACAAAACAAAACCACTTTGGAGAACGACAGCAATAGAAACAGAGTAAAGAAACAAGCTAGCTAACAGACTTTTTTCTGGCTTATACATGTTTCTCCAAAGAGATGCTATTTTTATAGTTGTAAGAATTAGAAGGATTTTTGTGAGAGGGACAAGCCTTGCCATCTAATTGCACTCTAACACTTTTCTTTACAAATCTTTGTGAAATTTAAAAACTGCCATAAAATCTATCCTTTGTGATCTACTGGTCCTCGTACCCCTGTTTCTTATGTAAGCAGTTACATAGCACCAGTGTATTTTAGGTCTAAGGGATTAATTAAAGCAAATGCTCTTAGATTGCATGTCCTCGTCATTTCTATATAAAACATCCTAATTTCTCAGATGTCCAAGTCTTGAAAACTGACATTCAGCCTAATGTTAAAAAAAAAAAAATAGTTTTTCCATTTCAAGAAATCACATGTAGCTCTTGTAACATGTTAAATCTTTTACAAGTAGTCAAGTGACCAACAGTTCCAAAAGGCCTCTTATTATATAACTAGTGAAAAGATGGGTGTGACAATCAAAAGTGGTGTAGACCATATTATTGGATAGCAAAACTGCCCCAAGGCTCAGAAATGCTGGCTACATTTACTATTACTAGAAGCTGGGGAACAAATTGTGTTTTTCTGGCAAAATTTTTGCCCAACCACTTAAAGAACTTCTGAGTGTTACTTCACAATCAAACAGTACCACAATCATTGTGTCCCAGAGGCTCAATGCTGCTTTGACATGTACCGGTAGCAACATCTCTAGCAGAATTGTCCTCTCAAAGTTTGTTTCCCCATCTACGATTGACGTCATGGTCACTTGATCAAAACAATTTGGTGTACATAACCATCACTAGTCACTCAGCGATATCAAACATTCAAGAACTTACAATACAGTACACTCACATGATTGGTATATCTGGGAGCAAGTAATATATTACAAAAGAAGCACTGCTGCTGCTGATACAGAAGTCTTTACATAAACCAGATGCACATTTCCACAAATCACATGCACACAAATATCCAACTTATGGATCACTATTTCGCTTTCGCATACAATCTTGTCCACTCTTTGGCTGCAAATAAGAAAAGAACAGGTAACTTGTGTATTGTAATGTCATGCAATGCAAAATCTTGGAAATCAAAATATGCTTGACTACAGAACAAAGAACCCTGATGAACTACAATTTTGTAACACATCAAGTTCTTAAGGGATCTCATAGCTGATGAAACTTAAATCTCAAAAGAATTAGGTAATTTTTAATTTAGAATATGACAATGCTACATGAAAACCAGTAATACCACTAAACCCACTGCATCTTCCACATACTTTAGGTTTAGCCATCTAGATAGAGCAAAGTTTTTATTTAAAAAGAAGGTCAGTTGAAAAAGGTTTGCCTGCCTGTGAAAACCAGTTGCCCTTCTGCTGAAAATTTTAATGAGACCCGTATCGTTCAGTTGTGTACGTGTAATTGACATACCATTTTTTATTGCTTTCTCTTCATCTATTTTCCACAGCTCAGCTACATCATTAGCCAAAGGATCGTCTGGGTTAGGTGCACTTAACAGTGCTTGAATTGATAACAGTACTGTGCGGATCTGAAGAGCTGGACTCCATTTATCTGTTGTTAGATTATAAAACATATAACAGAGTATGTTGGACAAGGTCAAAGTTGACTTCTCATGGTGTCAAAGGTTTGAGAAGTGAGATTAATTGAAAATTTTAATGTAATCCTAGTTGAAGTTCCATTTTACCATTTAAAAAATAATAAAAGAGATTTAAGTTTCAAGTGCCAATGTTAATCCATGTACAATACATTCTAGACCCATGTGGCATGTGTACAAAGCAAACAACTGACAGTTGTTATCATATGACTGAGAAAATTACTTCATTGTGATTGGCTGAGAGCAGGCCAATTTATTGTTACTTTTTAACTTGCACTGTAGTGTCAATTAATCATAAAAAAAATTGTAACTTCCTTAGTCATCACTCATATAATTTATAAATGAGAAAAAGCATGTAAGCTCACACAGTTAAGGATTTACACCATTCGCAATATTTGAAAATTATTTCAAGTTGCACTTGCTTAAAGGCTCATGCAACATTGAGAGAATTTTCAAATATCACTCAGTGTAAATCTTTGATTGCACTTGCATTCATAAGGTTACCTATTATATCATTTATTTATTGCACAAGATCATCATTATTACAACACTTCATACAACAATGTAATTAATACAATCCTGGGCAGGAAGTATCAGAAGCCTTTTAGGCTTATCTGGAAGATCCCCTTTACTACCTTGCAAGACAAGTCTGGCAGTCTATTATTTACAGATCCTGTACATTGAATCACAGATCATTGGTATTGAATATACAGCTACAAACTATGCGTGAGAATATAGTTTTTTAATTTTCACCTAAAAGGTGATTCACGCTGGACATTTTTTAGATCACTTGGTAAGTTGTTGTATATTCATTGTATTATATGTGAACAATTTAATGTTGCTGCCATCCATCTGTCTTGGGAGACAATGGAACTCTGCTCTCTCCCTTTTGGACTTTTTTCCTATATAGAAATTGTATTCTCTTGTGGAGTTTGTAAATGTTAGAAACTTGTCTGCTTTTCCAGTGAATAAGCTCTGAAAAATTCTACCTAGTCCTAGTATCAACAGCAATGTATGACTTCATGCAGAAAAACGAGTGACATTTGCATTATCTTCCACTGGTTAGGTGACATTGGTACATGAAAGGATGTAACATGGCGACACAGCTACCCCCTTCCTAGGAGGGCCTCACATTTCAAATATCAAATAGTTTTGGTAGGAAAACCCCAAACTTGGAGAGAAGAAGCTTTGCAAGGTTAGGTTAATTTTGAGAAAAAAAAAACTAATTTGTCAAAATTTCTATTTAGATATTCAAGTCTGTAATATTTCTTGTGGAGATTAAAAAGCTAAAATAAAGGTTTGCTAACACAAGCAACATATACCAACAGCGACATCTGACTTCACGCAGAAAAACGACAGTGAGATTTGCATTTGCTTCCACTGGTTAGGTGACATTGGTACCTGAAAGGATGTAACATGGCGACACGGCTACCCACCCACCCCCCCTCCCCCCTTCCTAGGAAGGACTCATGTTTCAAATATCAAATCTAGAGGAAATTTTGGTAGGAAAACCCAAACTTGGAGAGAAGAAGCTTCGCCAGGCTAGGTTAATTTGAAAAAAAAAAACCTAATTTGTCAAAATTTCTATTTAGATATTCCAGTCTGTAATATCTCTTGTGGAGATCAAAAAGCTAAAATAAAGGTTTGCTAACACAAGCAAACCATGGCAATCCCTATACATGGCAAAATTATGAATAGGGATAATTAAAGACAATAAAATCACAAGCAAATGGAATCTAAGTTTTTACCTGTAAATCAACAAGAAAAGATCTATGTTAATTTGTAGCACTGTTAACAAAAGTAGCTACATTTGTTAAAATACTCATTTGCACCCCCAAAAAACATATTTATCAAAAAAAGACGTTTATAACTACGATAACAAACGTTACTGAATTTGAAAAGTTATGTAAACATGCGCCTTTCGCAAATAAAGCACGTGAATGGATTATTAAATTTTAATTCGTACCTTTCAGAATATCCAGGCAGATTCGACCAAGCTTGTCTACGTTTGGGTGATAAATTTTTGTCATAAATCGGACTTTCGGCGCCGCCATGGGATACTCTTCTGGGAGAAATAGCTCTAACTGGAATTCCCCTCCATCATATGCGGTCTGAAAACCATGACAATAAAGCAGATTTTTAAATGTACCCTTTCCTGCAAAACTCAACTAAGCTAGCGTGGTGTACGATAAACGTAGCTATTAAACTACCGTAATCAACTTGAGTAAAAAGATAACTATCAAGGCGCTTACATCTTTAGGTCCATCTATAATGACTTTAAAGTATCTTGCATTTTCCTCGTGTGGTTCAGCTTTTATCCCCGGGACCGGTTCTGCCACTAAACGCTGAGTTTCCTGAAAGCGAAATTCACAGTTCAACTCGAGTGCCGGGAGGTTGCCAGACTTTATCAGAAGATCTCGACAGAAAACCTACTAACTCGCTCAAAACCTCTGTGCTAGGAAATGACAAAAATACTGCAAGAACCTACCTTGATTATTCTCCGAGGTAGACCTGCACTCATTTCAGTATAAAAATGTTTAAAAATCAAGGAAGAACAGCAAAAGCTCACAAATCTGAAGTAAATGTTCAAGAACTTCGATCAAGATGAATGATGGGTAACTTGAGCCTGCAGTGTCCGTTGCATCTTGCAATGTCATGCTCTGTTTGTTCGTTCCCAGTTTACCCTGTGAAGTGGACGACTGAGCCCCGCGTGACGGTCAAGGTAACTTTTGGCTTGGTATAACACATGGCAGTTGTGCCCAGGATGTCCCCATGATGTCCCCATGACGTCCCCATGACGGACCTGTGACTTGAACTGAGTGATTTACATAAGACTCGTAAGAAGGTTTTCAGTAAGAGAAGAAGACCGTATTATTATTCTTACAAAGAACCACATTATTTTATTACAGCTGGTCCGGCTTCGAGAAAGGTACATGGTAATGGCAACGAAAAGCGGAAATTCCGAGGTCAGTGCCACGATTAATTTCTTTATTACCACGTCGATCTGTGAAATGAACTTTTAAAGAAGCAGACTTAGCTTTTAGACAAGCCCCTAGCTTGACAAATCTTTGATACTCTCTCCCAATCCCCTGGAATACATACAAATTTCTTTGTAAAAAATTGGCAAGTTCAGGGTCCCATATTAAATTCTTATGAAACTTCGCTCATTCACAAAATTCAGCGTTATAGTTAAGAACCGAGGTTCACTTTGTGTTTGAATGGAAAAAATTGGGAAAGCGTGACAATCTTGTGCCAAACAACTGGAACCATTCTAGAGGGGTGGGGTGGGGGTCAATGATGGCCACTTCTTTTCACTGTTGTACACTCATTTTTTCTTAATTTGTAATTGTGATCATGGTATCTTTACAGGAAACATTTCTGGAGAGAGCTGTAGAAGTTTATAAAGAATGTGCCAAAACTGCTTCCATCACTAAAGCAACAGTATCAATCCTAAATCAAGATTCCAAATCCGACAAAGTGGAATTAAACATCTTCTCACAATGGTCTCAAAGGGATTTGGAAAGAAATGAAAATCTTAATTTTCAGAGAAGCCATGTTGCAAGTTATGAGACATCTTCTAAGTCTTTCCTTAATATCAGAGAGCCTTCATTTCCATCAGAAGTTCAAAATATGTGAGTTTTGATAATGATTATTTCCAACAGTTAACACCCCCCCTCCCCACCCATAACAAGTCCTCTCTCATTGCAATAGGGTGACTTACTTGTTGAAAGTTTTGGTTGTGGATGTGCTGTACATGGTATGTACAGCACCCCCTCCCCTTCCCCCACACTCTGTGTTCTCTAGATCCTGGTCCCATTTCCGGCTAAAATATACCTGTTTATGAAATAATAAAACAAAGAGAAAAAAAGTAATTGTGATCACCTGAAGCACAATTTAGACAAAAGCTCTTAATTAAAGCCGTTATGTGTTCCTTTAGGAATCACACTCACTAATTGCTTTTTAGGGAAGAGACTTACAGTAGATCAAGTCCACATATGAGCCCTTTAGTGGCACATCAGGTGCATGCCTGAGCTTGTCCTGGTTTCTGTAGTACATGAAGTGACTAGGAGTATTTCTGTTCCCCTTAGATAGGATGCTAACTAGTCCATCATAGGGTTAGTTACCCCCGGCATTAAATTCGCTGGTACCCATTTATACATCTGGGAGGAGAGAGGTACTGTTAGAGTTAAGTGTCTTTCCCAAGAACACAACACAATGTCTCCGGCCAGGGCTTGAACCCGGACTGCTTGATCAGGAGACAAGTGTATTTCCATGAGGTCACGGCACCTCCATTGACAAGAGTCTAATAGAGCCCTAATAATTATTATGAATATGATTCAGTACTAGGAAATTGAAAGGGAAACTGTCTGTATGGCTTGCAACTGTGAATTCTGATCACTTTGACAGGCTTTGTCTCATCATTATGAAACAGCTGCGCTTTTTTTTGTTTTGTTTGTCTTTCCATTTAAATAGACGCTTTTAGTTATTTTATAGTTACTGTAATAGATATGGTCACCAAAACCTGGACCCAATATTAGAGATCCTGACCAGGAAGTTTAAGTTAAGTCATTGACTAACCTCTATTTAATTTATACATCAAATTCCCAGTATCAGTTATTATTGGATGGCTTCTGTTAACACTAACCCTTTTCTGCTTATTTTTTCTTTTATTTTTATAGACAACTGAGTTGTGTTTCACCCAGTGGACAGCTGCAGGCCATTGTGCGAAAGGTTCCTGGTAACAAGGGAAAAGAAGATAAGCAATTCTTAGAGGTACACATGTGGGTTAATTATTTTCAATAAAGTTTTATTTCAAATTACTTATTCTATGTAATCTATGTTCTTGTGAACCTGACACAGATTGTCATAACCTGTTGTATGTCTGGTTGGATGTCTGGTCAAAAAAGATTAAATTAAATATTAATCTTATGATTTTGTGTGTTACTGGCAGTGTAGTTTAATTATGTCAGATCTATATTTACTAGACATATATTTTTGATTAGCAATTTTGTAGGTAGGTGAGAGGACTTTACCTGTTCGGAAAACTATTTTGTAAAATGGACATATTTATTATGGTTTAGATTTGGTCTAGAAGTCACCTCGTCAAGAGTATTGATATCCTGGCTTGTGAAAAGCATGGGAAAATTTATGAAGACAGTAAGTTGTTTCTTTCTGTCTTTTTTTAAAATATTTTTTAAAATTAAATAAATGTCAAACCCTGATTTTCCTTTTATCAGTTAATTAATGTTAGAGCTAACTACTGTCAAGTCAGTGAAATTTAGGCTAACCTGAGTGCCATTTAGACTGACCAGAATGCTATTTAGGCTAATCAAAGGGTCATTTCATCATTTCATCCATTACTGTTTAGAATACTGTACCCCTCCTTCAAGAACATGGCCATTAAAGATTTTTGACACCCTGACTTGTGTTTAATTCCTTTGTTCAGTTCAGTTTGGTTGCTTGGCTTGGTCAGCATCAGAAAAGTCATTGCTATACGTGGCAGAAAAGAAGTTGCCAAAAGCTGTTTCATATTTTGAAAGACAGAACACAGGTATGTACACTGACCAATTGAAAATGTATAATGTACATTTTCTCAGTGTCATGGTACGTATTAATCATATATAACTTTGTGACAGACTACATTACATCTGTATATATTATAAGGGTCATTGATGAAGCATAAGGTAAAAAAAGCATGTTTAAAGAACGAGACAGAGTTGAAGTCATTAAGCATGCAGAAAAAGAGTGAGGCCTGTATTCAACCATCTTNAACATTCAAGAACTTACAATACAGTACACTCACATGATTGGTATATCTGGGAGCAAGTAATATATTACAAAAGAAGCACTGCTGCTGCTGATACAGAAGTCTTTACATAAACCAGATGCACATTTCCACAAATCACATGCACACAAATATCCAACTTATGGATCACTATTTCGCTTTCGCATACAATCTTGTCCACTCTTTGGCTGCAAATAAGAAAAGAACAGGTAACTTGTGTATTGTAATGTCATGCAATGCAAAATCTTGGAAATCAAAATATGCTTGACTACAGAACAAAGAACCCTGATGAACTACAATTTTGTAACACATCAAGTTCTTAAGGGATCTCATAGCTGATGAAACTTAAATCTCAAAAGAATTAGGTAATTTTTAATTTAGAATATGACAATGCTACATGAAAACCAGTAATACCACTAAACCCACTGCATCTTCCACATACTTTAGGTTTAGCCATCTAGATAGAGCAAAGTTTTTATTTAAAAAGAAGGTCAGTTGAAAAAGGTTTGCCTGCCTGTGAAAACCAGTTGCCCTTCTGCTGAAAATTTTAATGAGACCCGTATCGTTCAGTTGTGTACGTGTAATTGACATACCATTTTTTATTGCTTTCTCTTCATCTATTTTCCACAGCTCAGCTACATCATTAGCCAAAGGATCGTCTGGGTTAGGTGCACTTAACAGTGCTTGAATTGATAACAGTACTGTGCGGATCTGAAGAGCTGGACTCCATTTATCTGTTGTTAGATTATAAAACATATAACAGAGTATGTTGGACAAGGTCAAAGTTGACTTCTCATGGTGTCAAAGGTTTGAGAAGTGAGATTAATTGAAAATTTTAATGTAATCCTAGTTGAAGTTCCATTTTACCATTTAAAAAATAATAAAAGAGATTTAAGTTTCAAGTGCCAATGTTAATCCATGTACAATACATTCTAGACCCATGTGGCATGTGTACAAAGCAAACAACTGACAGTTGTTATCATATGACTGAGAAAATTACTTCATTGTGATTGGCTGAGAGCAGGCCAATTTATTGTTACTTTTTAACTTGCACTGTAGTGTCAATTAATCATAAAAAAAAATTGTAACTTCCTTAGTCATCACTCATATAATTTATAAATGAGAAAAAGCATGTAAGCTCACACAGTTAAGGATTTACACCATTCGCAATATTTGAAAATTATTTCAAGTTGCACTTGCTTAAAGGCTCATGCAACATTGAGAGAATTTTCAAATATCACTCAGTGTAAATCTTTGATTGCACTTGCATTCATAAGGTTACCTATTATATCATTTATTTATTGCACAAGATCATCATTATTACAACACTTCATACAACAATGTAATTAATACAATCCTGGGCAGGAAGTATCAGAAGCCTTTTAGGCTTATCTGGAAGATCCCCTTTACTACCTTGCAAGACAAGTCTGGCAGTCTATTATTTACAGATCCTGTACATTGAATCACAGATCATTGGTATTGAATATACAGCTACAAACTATGCGTGAGAATATAGTTTTTTAATTTTCACCTAAAAGGTGATTCACGCTGGACATTTTTTAGATCACTTGGTAAGTTGTTGTATATTCATTGTATTATATGTGAACAATTTAATGTTGCTGCCATCCATCTGTCTTGGGAGACAATGGAACTCTGCTCTCTCCCTTTTGGACTTTTTTCCTATATAGAAATTGTATTCTCTTGTGGAGTTTGTAAATGTTAGAAACTTGTCTGCTTTTCCAGTGAATAAGCTCTGAAAAATTCTACCTAGTCCTAGTATCAACAGCAATGTATGACTTCATGCAGAAAAACGAGTGACATTTGCATTATCTTCCACTGGTTAGGTGACATTGGTACATGAAAGGATGTAACATGGCGACACAGCTACCCCCTTCCTAGGAGGGCCTCACATTTCAAATATCAAATAGTTTTGGTAGGAAAACCCCAAACTTGGAGAGAAGAAGCTTTGCAAGGTTAGGTTAATTTTGAGAAAAAAAAAACTAATTTGTCAAAATTTCTATTTAGATATTCAAGTCTGTAATATTTCTTGTGGAGATTAAAAAGCTAAAATAAAGGTTTGCTAACACAAGCAACATATACCAACAGCGACATCTGACTTCACGCAGAAAAACGACAGTGAGATTTGCATTTGCTTCCACTGGTTAGGTGACATTGGTACCTGAAAGGATGTAACATGGCGACACGGCTACCCACCCACCCCCCCTCCCCCCTTCCTAGGAAGGACTCATGTTTCAAATATCAAATCTAGAGGAAATTTTGGTAGGAAAACCCAAACTTGGAGAGAAGAAGCTTCGCCAGGCTAGGTTAATTTGAAAAAAAAAAACCTAATTTGTCAAAATTTCTATTTAGATATTCCAGTCTGTAATATCTCTTGTGGAGATCAAAAAGCTAAAATAAAGGTTTGCTAACACAAGCAAACCATGGCAATCCCTATACATGGCAAAATTATGAATAGGGATAATTAAAGACAATAAAATCACAAGCAAATGGAATCTAAGTTTTTACCTGTAAATCAACAAGAAAAGATCTATGTTAATTTGTAGCACTGTTAACAAAAGTAGCTACATTTGTTAAAATACTCATTTGCACCCCCAAAAAACATATTTATCAAAAAAAGACGTTTATAACTACGATAACAAACGTTACTGAATTTGAAAAGTTATGTAAACATGCGCCTTTCGCAAATAAAGCACGTGAATGGATTATTAAATTTTAATTCGTACCTTTCAGAATATCCAGGCAGATTCGACCAAGCTTGTCTACGTTTGGGTGATAAATTTTTGTCATAAATCGGACTTTCGGCGCCGCCATGGGATACTCTTCTGGGAGAAATAGCTCTAACTGGAATTCCCCTCCATCATATGCGGTCTGAAAACCATGACAATAAAGCAGATTTTTAAATGTACCCTTTCCTGCAAAACTCAACTAAGCTAGCGTGGTGTACGATAAACGTAGCTATTAAACTACCGTAATCAACTTGAGTAAAAAGATAACTATCAAGGCGCTTACATCTTTAGGTCCATCTATAATGACTTTAAAGTATCTTGCATTTTCCTCGTGTGGTTCAGCTTTTATCCCCGGGACCGGTTCTGCCACTAAACGCTGAGTTTCCTGAAAGCGAAATTCACAGTTCAACTCGAGTGCCGGGAGGTTGCCAGACTTTATCAGAAGATCTCGACAGAAAACCTACTAACTCGCTCAAAACCTCTGTGCTAGGAAATGACAAAAATACTGCAAGAACCTACCTTGATTATTCTCCGAGGTAGACCTGCACTCATTTCAGTATAAAAATGTTTAAAAATCAAGGAAGAACAGCAAAAGCTCACAAATCTGAAGTAAATGTTCAAGAACTTCGATCAAGATGAATGATGGGTAACTTGAGCCTGCAGTGTCCGTTGCATCTTGCAATGTCATGCTCTGTTTGTTCGTTCCCAGTTTACCCTGTGAAGTGGACGACTGAGCCCCGCGTGACGGTCAAGGTAACTTTTGGCTTGGTATAACACATGGCAGTTGTGCCCAGGATGTCCCCATGATGTCCCCATGACGTCCCCATGACGGACCTGTGACTTGAACTGAGTGATTTACATAAGACTCGTAAGAAGGTTTTCAGTAAGAGAAGAAGACCGTATTATTATTCTTACAAAGAACCACATTATTTTATTACAGCTGGTCCGGCTTCGAGAAAGGTACATGGTAATGGCAACGAAAAGCGGAAATTCCGAGGTCAGTGCCACGATTAATTTCTTTATTACCACGTCGATCTGTGAAATGAACTTTTAAAGAAGCAGACTTAGCTTTTAGACAAGCCCCTAGCTTGACAAATCTTTGATACTCTCTCCCAATCCCCTGGAATACATACAAATTTCTTTGTAAAAAATTGGCAAGTTCAGGGTCCCATATTAAATTCTTATGAAACTTCGCTCATTCACAAAATTCAGCGTTATAGTTAAGAACCGAGGTTCACTTTGTGTTTGAATGGAAAAAATTGGGAAAGCGTGACAATCTTGTGCCAAACAACTGGAACCATTCTAGAGGGGTGGGGTGGGGGTCAATGATGGCCACTTCTTTTCACTGTTGTACACTCATTTTTTCTTAATTTGTAATTGTGATCATGGTATCTTTACAGGAAACATTTCTGGAGAGAGCTGTAGAAGTTTATAAAGAATGTGCCAAAACTGCTTCCATCACTAAAGCAACAGTATCAATCCTAAATCAAGATTCCAAATCCGACAAAGTGGAATTAAACATCTTCTCACAATGGTCTCAAAGGGATTTGGAAAGAAATGAAAATCTTAATTTTCAGAGAAGCCATGTTGCAAGTTATGAGACATCTTCTAAGTCTTTCCTTAATATCAGAGAGCCTTCATTTCCATCAGAAGTTCAAAATATGTGAGTTTTGATAATGATTATTTCCAACAGTTAACACCCCCCCTCCCCACCCATAACAAGTCCTCTCTCATTGCAATAGGGTGACTTACTTGTTGAAAGTTTTGGTTGTGGATGTGCTGTACATGGTATGTACAGCACCCCCTCCCCTTCCCCCACACTCTGTGTTCTCTAGATCCTGGTCCCATTTCCGGCTAAAATATACCTGTTTATGAAATAATAAAACAAAGAGAAAAAAAGTAATTGTGATCACCTGAAGCACAATTTAGACAAAAGCTCTTAATTAAAGCCGTTATGTGTTCCTTTAGGAATCACACTCACTAATTGCTTTTTAGGGAAGAGACTTACAGTAGATCAAGTCCACATATGAGCCCTTTAGTGGCACATCAGGTGCATGCCTGAGCTTGTCCTGGTTTCTGTAGTACATGAAGTGACTAGGAGTATTTCTGTTCCCCTTAGATAGGATGCTAACTAGTCCATCATAGGGTTAGTTACCCCCGGCATTAAATTCGCTGGTACCCATTTATACATCTGGGAGGAGAGAGGTACTGTTAGAGTTAAGTGTCTTTCCCAAGAACACAACACAATGTCTCCGGCCAGGGCTTGAACCCGGACTGCTTGATCAGGAGACAAGTGTATTTCCATGAGGTCACGGCACCTCCATTGACAAGAGTCTAATAGAGCCCTAATAATTATTATGAATATGATTCAGTACTAGGAAATTGAAAGGGAAACTGTCTGTATGGCTTGCAACTGTGAATTCTGATCACTTTGACAGGCTTTGTCTCATCATTATGAAACAGCTGCGCTTTTTTTTGTTTTGTTTGTCTTTCCATTTAAATAGACGCTTTTAGTTATTTTATAGTTACTGTAATAGATATGGTCACCAAAACCTGGACCCAATATTAGAGATCCTGACCAGGAAGTTTAAGTTAAGTCATTGACTAACCTCTATTTAATTTATACATCAAATTCCCAGTATCAGTTATTATTGGATGGCTTCTGTTAACACTAACCCTTTTCTGCTTATTTTTTCTTTTATTTTTATAGACAACTGAGTTGTGTTTCACCCAGTGGACAGCTGCAGGCCATTGTGCGAAAGGTTCCTGGTAACAAGGGAAAAGAAGATAAGCAATTCTTAGAGGTACACATGTGGGTTAATTATTTTCAATAAAGTTTTATTTCAAATTACTTATTCTATGTAATCTATGTTCTTGTGAACCTGACACAGATTGTCATAACCTGTTGTATGTCTGGTTGGATGTCTGGTCAAAAAAGATTAAATTAAATATTAATCTTATGATTTTGTGTGTTACTGGCAGTGTAGTTTAATTATGTCAGATCTATATTTACTAGACATATATTTTTGATTAGCAATTTTGTAGGTAGGTGAGAGGACTTTACCTGTTCGGAAAACTATTTTGTAAAATGGACATATTTATTATGGTTTAGATTTGGTCTAGAAGTCACCTCGTCAAGAGTATTGATATCCTGGCTTGTGAAAAGCATGGGAAAATTTATGAAGACAGTAAGTTGTTTCTTTCTGTCTTTTTTTAAAATATTTTTTAAAATTAAATAAATGTCAAACCCTGATTTTCCTTTTATCAGTTAATTAATGTTAGAGCTAACTACTGTCAAGTCAGTGAAATTTAGGCTAACCTGAGTGCCATTTAGACTGACCAGAATGCTATTTAGGCTAATCAAAGGGTCATTTCATCATTTCATCCATTACTGTTTAGAATACTGTACCCCTCCTTCAAGAACATGGCCATTAAAGATTTTTGACACCCTGACTTGTGTTTAATTCCTTTGTTCAGTTCAGTTTGGTTGCTTGGCTTGGTCAGCATCAGAAAAGTCATTGCTATACGTGGCAGAAAAGAAGTTGCCAAAAGCTGTTTCATATTTTGAAAGACAGAACACAGGTATGTACACTGACCAATTGAAAATGTATAATGTACATTTTCTCAGTGTCATGGTACGNAACATTCAAGAACTTACAATACAGTACACTCACATGATTGGTATATCTGGGAGCAAGTAATATATTACAAAAGAAGCACTGCTGCTGCTGATACAGAAGTCTTTACATAAACCAGATGCACATTTCCACAAATCACATGCACACAAATATCCAACTTATGGATCACTATTTCGCTTTCGCATACAATCTTGTCCACTCTTTGGCTGCAAATAAGAAAAGAACAGGTAACTTGTGTATTGTAATGTCATGCAATGCAAAATCTTGGAAATCAAAATATGCTTGACTACAGAACAAAGAACCCTGATGAACTACAATTTTGTAACACATCAAGTTCTTAAGGGATCTCATAGCTGATGAAACTTAAATCTCAAAAGAATTAGGTAATTTTTAATTTAGAATATGACAATGCTACATGAAAACCAGTAATACCACTAAACCCACTGCATCTTCCACATACTTTAGGTTTAGCCATCTAGATAGAGCAAAGTTTTTATTTAAAAAGAAGGTCAGTTGAAAAAGGTTTGCCTGCCTGTGAAAACCAGTTGCCCTTCTGCTGAAAATTTTAATGAGACCCGTATCGTTCAGTTGTGTACGTGTAATTGACATACCATTTTTTATTGCTTTCTCTTCATCTATTTTCCACAGCTCAGCTACATCATTAGCCAAAGGATCGTCTGGGTTAGGTGCACTTAACAGTGCTTGAATTGATAACAGTACTGTGCGGATCTGAAGAGCTGGACTCCATTTATCTGTTGTTAGATTATAAAACATATAACAGAGTATGTTGGACAAGGTCAAAGTTGACTTCTCATGGTGTCAAAGGTTTGAGAAGTGAGATTAATTGAAAATTTTAATGTAATCCTAGTTGAAGTTCCATTTTACCATTTAAAAAATAATAAAAGAGATTTAAGTTTCAAGTGCCAATGTTAATCCATGTACAATACATTCTAGACCCATGTGGCATGTGTACAAAGCAAACAACTGACAGTTGTTATCATATGACTGAGAAAATTACTTCATTGTGATTGGCTGAGAGCAGGCCAATTTATTGTTACTTTTTAACTTGCACTGTAGTGTCAATTAATCATAAAAAAAATTGTAACTTCCTTAGTCATCACTCATATAATTTATAAATGAGAAAAAGCATGTAAGCTCACACAGTTAAGGATTTACACCATTCGCAATATTTGAAAATTATTTCAAGTTGCACTTGCTTAAAGGCTCATGCAACATTGAGAGAATTTTCAAATATCACTCAGTGTAAATCTTTGATTGCACTTGCATTCATAAGGTTACCTATTATATCATTTATTTATTGCACAAGATCATCATTATTACAACACTTCATACAACAATGTAATTAATACAATCCTGGGCAGGAAGTATCAGAAGCCTTTTAGGCTTATCTGGAAGATCCCCTTTACTACCTTGCAAGACAAGTCTGGCAGTCTATTATTTACAGATCCTGTACATTGAATCACAGATCATTGGTATTGAATATACAGCTACAAACTATGCGTGAGAATATAGTTTTTTAATTTTCACCTAAAAGGTGATTCACGCTGGACATTTTTTAGATCACTTGGTAAGTTGTTGTATATTCATTGTATTATATGTGAACAATTTAATGTTGCTGCCATCCATCTGTCTTGGGAGACAATGGAACTCTGCTCTCTCCCTTTTGGACTTTTTTCCTATATAGAAATTGTATTCTCTTGTGGAGTTTGTAAATGTTAGAAACTTGTCTGCTTTTCCAGTGAATAAGCTCTGAAAAATTCTACCTAGTCCTAGTATCAACAGCAATGTATGACTTCATGCAGAAAAACGAGTGACATTTGCATTATCTTCCACTGGTTAGGTGACATTGGTACATGAAAGGATGTAACATGGCGACACAGCTACCCCCTTCCTAGGAGGGCCTCACATTTCAAATATCAAATAGTTTTGGTAGGAAAACCCCAAACTTGGAGAGAAGAAGCTTTGCAAGGTTAGGTTAATTTTGAGAAAAAAAAAACTAATTTGTCAAAATTTCTATTTAGATATTCAAGTCTGTAATATTTCTTGTGGAGATTAAAAAGCTAAAATAAAGGTTTGCTAACACAAGCAACATATACCAACAGCGACATCTGACTTCACGCAGAAAAACGACAGTGAGATTTGCATTTGCTTCCACTGGTTAGGTGACATTGGTACCTGAAAGGATGTAACATGGCGACACGGCTACCCACCCACCCCCCCTCCCCCCTTCCTAGGAAGGACTCATGTTTCAAATATCAAATCTAGAGGAAATTTTGGTAGGAAAACCCAAACTTGGAGAGAAGAAGCTTCGCCAGGCTAGGTTAATTTGAAAAAAAAAAACCTAATTTGTCAAAATTTCTATTTAGATATTCCAGTCTGTAATATCTCTTGTGGAGATCAAAAAGCTAAAATAAAGGTTTGCTAACACAAGCAAACCATGGCAATCCCTATACATGGCAAAATTATGAATAGGGATAATTAAAGACAATAAAATCACAAGCAAATGGAATCTAAGTTTTTACCTGTAAATCAACAAGAAAAGATCTATGTTAATTTGTAGCACTGTTAACAAAAGTAGCTACATTTGTTAAAATACTCATTTGCACCCCCAAAAAACATATTTATCAAAAAAAGACGTTTATAACTACGATAACAAACGTTACTGAATTTGAAAAGTTATGTAAACATGCGCCTTTCGCAAATAAAGCACGTGAATGGATTATTAAATTTTAATTCGTACCTTTCAGAATATCCAGGCAGATTCGACCAAGCTTGTCTACGTTTGGGTGATAAATTTTTGTCATAAATCGGACTTTCGGCGCCGCCATGGGATACTCTTCTGGGAGAAATAGCTCTAACTGGAATTCCCCTCCATCATATGCGGTCTGAAAACCATGACAATAAAGCAGATTTTTAAATGTACCCTTTCCTGCAAAACTCAACTAAGCTAGCGTGGTGTACGATAAACGTAGCTATTAAACTACCGTAATCAACTTGAGTAAAAAGATAACTATCAAGGCGCTTACATCTTTAGGTCCATCTATAATGACTTTAAAGTATCTTGCATTTTCCTCGTGTGGTTCAGCTTTTATCCCCGGGACCGGTTCTGCCACTAAACGCTGAGTTTCCTGAAAGCGAAATTCACAGTTCAACTCGAGTGCCGGGAGGTTGCCAGACTTTATCAGAAGATCTCGACAGAAAACCTACTAACTCGCTCAAAACCTCTGTGCTAGGAAATGACAAAAATACTGCAAGAACCTACCTTGATTATTCTCCGAGGTAGACCTGCACTCATTTCAGTATAAAAATGTTTAAAAATCAAGGAAGAACAGCAAAAGCTCACAAATCTGAAGTAAATGTTCAAGAACTTCGATCAAGATGAATGATGGGTAACTTGAGCCTGCAGTGTCCGTTGCATCTTGCAATGTCATGCTCTGTTTGTTCGTTCCCAGTTTACCCTGTGAAGTGGACGACTGAGCCCCGCGTGACGGTCAAGGTAACTTTTGGCTTGGTATAACACATGGCAGTTGTGCCCAGGATGTCCCCATGATGTCCCCATGACGTCCCCATGACGGACCTGTGACTTGAACTGAGTGATTTACATAAGACTCGTAAGAAGGTTTTCAGTAAGAGAAGAAGACCGTATTATTATTCTTACAAAGAACCACATTATTTTATTACAGCTGGTCCGGCTTCGAGAAAGGTACATGGTAATGGCAACGAAAAGCGGAAATTCCGAGGTCAGTGCCACGATTAATTTCTTTATTACCACGTCGATCTGTGAAATGAACTTTTAAAGAAGCAGACTTAGCTTTTAGACAAGCCCCTAGCTTGACAAATCTTTGATACTCTCTCCCAATCCCCTGGAATACATACAAATTTCTTTGTAAAAAATTGGCAAGTTCAGGGTCCCATATTAAATTCTTATGAAACTTCGCTCATTCACAAAATTCAGCGTTATAGTTAAGAACCGAGGTTCACTTTGTGTTTGAATGGAAAAAATTGGGAAAGCGTGACAATCTTGTGCCAAACAACTGGAACCATTCTAGAGGGGTGGGGTGGGGGTCAATGATGGCCACTTCTTTTCACTGTTGTACACTCATTTTTTCTTAATTTGTAATTGTGATCATGGTATCTTTACAGGAAACATTTCTGGAGAGAGCTGTAGAAGTTTATAAAGAATGTGCCAAAACTGCTTCCATCACTAAAGCAACAGTATCAATCCTAAATCAAGATTCCAAATCCGACAAAGTGGAATTAAACATCTTCTCACAATGGTCTCAAAGGGATTTGGAAAGAAATGAAAATCTTAATTTTCAGAGAAGCCATGTTGCAAGTTATGAGACATCTTCTAAGTCTTTCCTTAATATCAGAGAGCCTTCATTTCCATCAGAAGTTCAAAATATGTGAGTTTTGATAATGATTATTTCCAACAGTTAACACCCCCCCTCCCCACCCATAACAAGTCCTCTCTCATTGCAATAGGGTGACTTACTTGTTGAAAGTTTTGGTTGTGGATGTGCTGTACATGGTATGTACAGCACCCCCTCCCCTTCCCCCACACTCTGTGTTCTCTAGATCCTGGTCCCATTTCCGGCTAAAATATACCTGTTTATGAAATAATAAAACAAAGAGAAAAAAAGTAATTGTGATCACCTGAAGCACAATTTAGACAAAAGCTCTTAATTAAAGCCGTTATGTGTTCCTTTAGGAATCACACTCACTAATTGCTTTTTAGGGAAGAGACTTACAGTAGATCAAGTCCACATATGAGCCCTTTAGTGGCACATCAGGTGCATGCCTGAGCTTGTCCTGGTTTCTGTAGTACATGAAGTGACTAGGAGTATTTCTGTTCCCCTTAGATAGGATGCTAACTAGTCCATCATAGGGTTAGTTACCCCCGGCATTAAATTCGCTGGTACCCATTTATACATCTGGGAGGAGAGAGGTACTGTTAGAGTTAAGTGTCTTTCCCAAGAACACAACACAATGTCTCCGGCCAGGGCTTGAACCCGGACTGCTTGATCAGGAGACAAGTGTATTTCCATGAGGTCACGGCACCTCCATTGACAAGAGTCTAATAGAGCCCTAATAATTATTATGAATATGATTCAGTACTAGGAAATTGAAAGGGAAACTGTCTGTATGGCTTGCAACTGTGAATTCTGATCACTTTGACAGGCTTTGTCTCATCATTATGAAACAGCTGCGCTTTTTTTTGTTTTGTTTGTCTTTCCATTTAAATAGACGCTTTTAGTTATTTTATAGTTACTGTAATAGATATGGTCACCAAAACCTGGACCCAATATTAGAGATCCTGACCAGGAAGTTTAAGTTAAGTCATTGACTAACCTCTATTTAATTTATACATCAAATTCCCAGTATCAGTTATTATTGGATGGCTTCTGTTAACACTAACCCTTTTCTGCTTATTTTTTCTTTTATTTTTATAGACAACTGAGTTGTGTTTCACCCAGTGGACAGCTGCAGGCCATTGTGCGAAAGGTTCCTGGTAACAAGGGAAAAGAAGATAAGCAATTCTTAGAGGTACACATGTGGGTTAATTATTTTCAATAAAGTTTTATTTCAAATTACTTATTCTATGTAATCTATGTTCTTGTGAACCTGACACAGATTGTCATAACCTGTTGTATGTCTGGTTGGATGTCTGGTCAAAAAAGATTAAATTAAATATTAATCTTATGATTTTGTGTGTTACTGGCAGTGTAGTTTAATTATGTCAGATCTATATTTACTAGACATATATTTTTGATTAGCAATTTTGTAGGTAGGTGAGAGGACTTTACCTGTTCGGAAAACTATTTTGTAAAATGGACATATTTATTATGGTTTAGATTTGGTCTAGAAGTCACCTCGTCAAGAGTATTGATATCCTGGCTTGTGAAAAGCATGGGAAAATTTATGAAGACAGTAAGTTGTTTCTTTCTGTCTTTTTTTAAAATATTTTTTAAAATTAAATAAATGTCAAACCCTGATTTTCCTTTTATCAGTTAATTAATGTTAGAGCTAACTACTGTCAAGTCAGTGAAATTTAGGCTAACCTGAGTGCCATTTAGACTGACCAGAATGCTATTTAGGCTAATCAAAGGGTCATTTCATCATTTCATCCATTACTGTTTAGAATACTGTACCCCTCCTTCAAGAACATGGCCATTAAAGATTTTTGACACCCTGACTTGTGTTTAATTCCTTTGTTCAGTTCAGTTTGGTTGCTTGGCTTGGTCAGCATCAGAAAAGTCATTGCTATACGTGGCAGAAAAGAAGTTGCCAAAAGCTGTTTCATATTTTGAAAGACAGAACACAGGTATGTACACTGACCAATTGAAAATGTATAATGTACATTTTCTCAGTGTCATGGTACGTATTAATCATATATAACTTTGTGACAGACTACATTACATCTGTATATATTATAAGGGTCATTGATGAAGCATAAGGTAAAAAAAGCATGTTTAAAGAACGAGACAGAGTTGAAGTCATTAAGCATGCAGAAAAAGAGTGAGGCCTGTATTCAACCATCTTGACTGAACAAGCTTGGTCAAGAAAGGGATCATTATATATATATATATATATATATATATATATATATATATATATATATATATATATATATATATATATATATAAAAAGTTAAGATG